TTTCCTTTCCATATAAAGTTAGTGATCATTTTTTCCATATCCCTAAAGAATGTTGATGGGATCTGGATTGGGATTGCATTGAATGTATAGATTGCTTTGTGCACCATAAGTTTTTTAAGGGCTGAAAGTACATCCATCGTCAGAACTTTTTTTCCAAAGTGGTCTGGAAAGACTCAAACTACCAACGTTTTGGTTAGCAACCCAGTGCATTAACCCTTGCTACCATAGGGACTTCTCCCATAGATGTACACCTGAAGAAAAGCACTTTTCTTCAATTGAGTAAAATAATTTCTGGATTTATCTCCTTTGTTTTTTCTTTGCTTGTTTGTTTAGTATTACCATTGAAACTTAAAGTGGTTCACAAAACACCCCCTAGTTTACTACCTTTTACTGGCTGTGAGACTTTGGGCAAATTACTCTATATGCCTCAGTTTCTTGAGTAAACCAGATCTTGTAGACTTTAATACAGCGTTTTTATTCAAATGCTGGCCCACTAAGTTTAACATGGGGAAAGACAGTAACTTGAGGCAATAATAGGATCTTTCAAGTGCCAGTCTCCTCCTTCAGTGGAACACCATTTGTTAAGTGACAGCAGGCCAGCAGTCTTTATTCCTTAATGGATTCTATCCCCTAGCCTCCAACTTTGCTTTTGCTTCTACATGGATTTTGACGACATAGTGGAAAGAGTATTTCCTCATTCACATTTTCGACATTTATTGAGCAGTAACTATTAGCTGGACATTGGATGTAAACAAGTGAATTTATTCTGGTCCCATTCTGTTGTGTGGCTCTGGAATATAATGGTTGCAGCAGGACAGACAAGGAATTGCCAATAATTGAGACCAGATGCAGAAGAGGACGTGGAATGAGGGATATCATTGCTGATGTCAGATGGATCTTGACGGAAAGCAAAGAATACCAGAAAGATGTTTACTTATGTTTTATTGACTATCCAAAGGCATTTGACTGTGTGGATCACAACAAATTCTGGATAACGATGTGAAAAATGGGAATTCCAGAACATTTAATTGTGCTTATGAGGAACCTGTACACTGACCAAGAGGCAGTCATTTGAATAGAATAAAGGGATAGTGCATGCATAAAAATCAAAAAAGGTGCGTATCAGGGCTGTATCCTTTCAACATACTTATTCAATTTGTATGCTGAGCAAATAATCCCAAGAAGCTGGACTATATAAAGAAGAATGTGGCATCAGGATTAGAGTAAGATTCATTAACAACCTACAACATGCAGATGACACAACCTTGTCTGCAGAAAGTGAAGGAGACTTGAAGCACTTACTGATGAGGATCAAAGACTACATCCTTCAGTATGGATTACATCTCAACATAAAGAAAATTAAAATCCTCACAACTGACCCATAAGCAACATCATAATAAATGGAAAAAAGACTGAAGCTTGTCAAGAATTTCATCTAACTTGGATCCACAATCAACACTCATGGAAGCAGCAGACAAGAAATCAAATGACATACTGCATTGAGCAAATCTAAGGGAGCTCTGGAAGCACAGTGCCCAAGGCACTTGACTGCTAACCAGAAGGCTGGTGGTTCAAACCCACCAGCCACTCCTCAGAAGGAAGGTTGGGCAATCTAGTTCGGTAGTGATACTGCCTTGGAAACCCAAGGAGGGGTTGCTATGAGTCGGGGCTGTCTAGACGGCACATAACAACAACAACAACAACAACAACAACAACCAGAAGAAGGAACAAATTTGTCTTGTAAGAAGTACAGCCAGAAGACTCCTTAGAAGCAAGAAAGCCAGATTTCGTCTCTTATACTTTGGTTATATTATCAGCAGGGACCATTCCCTGATGAAGGATATCATCAGCGAAAAAGGGGAAGACCCTCAAAGAGACGGATTGACTGGGTGGCTTCAACAACAGGCTCAATCACAGCAACAGCTGTGAAGATGGCAGGACTGGGCAGTGTTTTATTCTGTTGTTCATGGGTCAGTGAGTCAGAACCAACTCAGTGGCCCCTAACAACACAGGATCTCCAAGCTTCTTTCCAGCTCAAAAACTGTACAATGATAATAAGAACAGTTCTAATTTTAGAACTTAGAAAAGTTCTGCTAGAACAATTAATTCCACAGATTTGACTGCATGAACTCACTCAGGATTCTTACCCCATGATGTATTTTCTAAGGAGCCATGGTGGAGAAGTAATTAAAGCACTTTGTTGACAACCAAAAGGTCAGCGGTTTAAACCCACCAGAAAGAAATCTTCCACAGAAGAAAGATGCAGCAGTCTGCTTCCTTAAAGGTTCATAGCCTTGGAAATCCTATGGGGCAGTTCTACTCTGTCCTGTAGTGTCTCTATGAGTCGAAACTGACTCAGCAGCAACGGGTTTGGTTTGGGTTTGGGGATGCATTTTCCAACAGAGGTCTAATCACATGACAGGAGGCAGTCATGTGTCGTAAGATGTGATAAACAGCACTGTGAGTTTCATAGGAAGAAAAACTCATTAATTATGAATAACAAAATTCCATTGCCCAAAGGAAGCTTGGAATGAATCAAGAAGAGGGGAAATGACTTTTGTCTTGTCAGCACCTTAGATATCTAGTGCTGCTGTAACAGAAATACAAGTGGATGGTATGGTAGTGAAGGTGGTGTGTCAACTTGGCTGGGCCTGGTGCTGAGTAGCTGGGCAGCTGATGTGGTTATTCCCCATGATAAGACTGGTGATCAACTCCATGGTAGAATCTGTGAGCAGCTGAGTAGCTGCTTTAGGGATGTGGTCTGCTCCCAGTATATAAAAAGCAGCTTTGAGGAAAGCTCTAGCTTTTGGTGTATCTTGGTTCTGCATTTGGCCCAGCGTTCATCTCAATGGCCTACCATGTTGTCCACCAATCTTGGGACTGTTAATGGAGTTGTACTGATGACATGCCATGTTGCTTGATAATTTTGGGACTGTGCCATTTTATTTGTCGACCTTGAGTCTGTCAGCCTTAGCCAAGAGCTGCCGAAGAGACGCCTCCAGCTTCAGTGGGCCAGGAGCAAGAGGCAGAGTGGAAGCTCAAGGTCGAGGGGCCTTCACCCAGCCCTTAGAGCTGGCACTCGGAACTCAGACTCCTAGCCTCCAAACTGTGAGAATAAATCTGTTTGTTGAAACCACCTACTTGTGGTATGCCTGGTAGAGTAACACTTATTGTTGTGTTGTTATGTGCCGTGGAGTCGGCCCCGACTCATAGCGACCCCTCCTTGGGTTTCCGAGGCAGTATCACTACAGAAGTAGGATTGCCCAACCTTCCTTCCAAGGAGTGGCTGGTGGGTTTGAACCGCCAGCCTTCTGGTTAGCAGTCAAGTGCTTTATCCACTATGCTACCAGAGCTCTTAAGAGAGTAACACTAGAGAACCAAAACAGACGGCTTTAACAAACAAATTTCTTTTCTCACAGTTTAGGAGGCTAAAAGTTTGAATTCTGGTTGCCAGCTCTAGGGGAAAGCTTCCTCTGTCAGTCTGGAAGAAGGTCCTTTGCTATTCCGAGCTGCTGCTCCTGGGCGATCTTCACGTGGCTAGGTGCGTCTTCCCCCATCTCTGCTCTGCTGGCTCCTTTACTCTCTTTTATATCGCAAGAACGACTGCCTCAAGATAGACCCTACACTAATCCTGTCTCTTTAACATAATGAAGACAATCCATTCCCAAACGGGATTATGACCACAGGCATAGGGGCTAGGATTTAGAACACACAGTTTGGGGGGGGGGTGGTGGCACAATTCAATCCATGTTGTCGGTGCGGTCGAGTCGGCATAACCACCCTACGTACAACAGGAAACACTGCATGGTCCTATGCCAGCCTCACAATCCTTGCTATACCTATTCAATCCATAACAGTAAGCAAAAGAGAAATTTTAAAAGAGCAAGTGGACTAGGGGTCGGTTATCCAAGGCACAATAAATAAGATGAATAGATCCTGCCCCGCCCCCCACACCCCCGCCTCCCGTCCTGCTGTCCACCCTACGAACTTCAGAAAACTTCAGCAAAACGTCCACCTGTAGAACTTTTCAGGAATCTCAAAATACGCGTCTCAATAAAAGAGACAAAGTTAAGATCGGCCGCATTTCACAGAGGCCGCCCGCGCCCCCCACTCCAGCATTCCCCAGGCCCGTCCACGCCGGGTCCAAGGCTGAGCCTGGCCGCCCGCGGGATCCGCCCAGCCCGGGTTCTCAGCGCGGGGCTCCAATGTGGGCTTCCTCAGAGGGCGCAGGCAATTCGGCCCGGGACTCACCGCAGTCCTTGAAGACCACCGGCTCGGCTAGAGAAGCGGCGCTGAGCGCCAGGAGCAGGAACGCGGCGGCCAAGAAGCGCATCGCAGCCACGGAAGCTTCAAGTGCCAGGAAGGAAAAAGTGGGCGCCAGAGTCACAAGATAAACCTGCTGAGGCGGGGCCGGGGAGGAGCCCAGTCAGCAGACCTTTCTCCAGAAACAACGTCCGATGTCCGCCCACGACCCGCCTCCGGCTCCAGGGAGCCAAGCGGGTCTCTGTCCGGCTCCCACATTCTCCATCTCCACCTATCTTCTCCGCTGGTGGGCGGGCCTGGCTAGGTTCCACCTCTACCCGGCTCCACCCCTCAGCGCTCCGCCCAGGCTTTGATTGTACCTCCCCCGCTTCCGACATCTGGAGCACTTTTAGCCAATCAAGACCCTTCTCTTCCTGTATTACCCAATAGGTCTTCTCGGAGGCGGGGCCTCTGTGCGATCCCGTCCCCTGGCCATTCTCCCCGCCTTCCGAGGTTCAAGCGGAGGAGGGATAGGTGCTCCGCCAGGGGCGGAGCTTGTGGAGAAAGATGGCGGCTTCCTGGTGTTTATACCAAGTGGCCACTGCACTGAGAGCAGTTACCGTCTGGCCGAGGGGCAGGTACCGAGTCTAGAAGGCACTTGAGAAGGGAGTGTAAGGTTTTGCGCCTCCAGGACAAGTGGGAAACTAAGGCCCAAGGAGGTGGAGTGTGGAGGGGAGGGAGACTGGCGTAAGATTGCCCTGGCCGGGGTCAGGCACTCCTTGATTGCCCTGGCCGGGGTCAGGCACCACCCTGGCTCATCGTCCTTCCTTGCGTGGCAGGCTCCCCAGACCTCAGGTGCCTCGAGAAGCGTCGTCTTCCAGCCCCCAGGCCGACGAATGGCAGATCCACCTCACCGACAGCTGCGTCCAGGTAGGAGTCCGCAAATGAGGCAGCTGTGTCCGGGCGAGCGCCGGTACCTTCTCCTACCCTCCTCTTCCCTGTCCCCTCTCTTCCTGCATTTCAGAGGCTTTTGGAAATCACCGAAGGGGCAGAGTTCCTCAGACTGCAGGTAGAGGGAGGTGGATGCTCCGGATTCCAATACAAATTTTCACTGGACACAGTTGTTAACGCCGATGACAGGCAAGGAGGAGGAAGGGGTGGGACCTCAGAGGTCGTTCGGGAGACATAGAAGTGTAGCCAGCGTAAGATGCACTTTTAGTCCAAATTTCAAAGATTTGCTAAGGATGGTTAACACTGCTCTTCTCACATGAGGATGCAGTGGACGTCGGTTGCTTTCACTTAATAAAATAACGAAGTGATAGGAGAAAAATTGACGTGCCCAGGCCCGTAGGGAGTTGGTAGAGAGTTAGGCTGGACTAGATTCCAGGCTTAATTCCTTAAATTTTTCCCTGTGTTCGTTTTGTTGATTTTTTTTTTTTTTTCCCTCAGAGAAAATCACCTATTAGAGGTAATCCGGAAATGCTGCCTCTGTACTTCAAAAAGTAGAACGTGTGCTTGGGGGTGGTTGTGGTAGGAGGGTGTCATGTTTGGGATGTTATGATACCTATTAATGTCTTCCTCCTGTCTTTCCAGGGTATTTGAACAGGGTGGGGCAAGAGTGGTGGTTGACTCTGATAGCTTGGCCTTCGTGAAAGGGGCCCAGGTGGACTTCAGCCAAGAACTTATCCGAAGCTCATTTCAAGTGTTGAATAATCCTCAAGCACAGCAAGGCTGCTCTTGTGGGTCATCCTTCTCTGTCAAACTTTGATGATGTGATATGAGTGACCCAGACATCACCACTAGTTCTGCTTACCAGTTTGAGGAACCTGGGATTAGTAGAATTCTAGAGATTTCCTTCTAATCATGTCCCTCTCTCAGTCGTGTGTCCTTTGACCCAGGAGTGCTGTGTTTTGCCACTCTTATTTTCAGAATGTGAAGCTTTTACTCTTGACTCAGTTCCACGACCCCCAGATTTTAAGGTCATGCCTTTAGATGCTGTTACCTCACATTTAATCACTGGTTGAAACCCAGTATAATCTATAGGCCTCCAAGGCTCCAGAATTTGGAGTTACTGCTCTGGCCGACAGAGCTGCTTGTATATATGTGGACAGCTATATATAAAAGAAAGTCCTTACTGTGTTTTAGATCAGAGTCACAGATTGGGTAGTTTGAATACCGGTTACTAAGCCAGAGAAGATGACAGAGGCAAATGAAACGTTCTCTTTTTTTGTCTTACCCTTTGTGAATATGCCACTTGATTTATCCTTACTTTATATGCAGCCCACTCTCTGCCTCCCATTTGTAGGGTACTCATACTCATATTCATGGATATGCCAGACTCAAAATAAGCCATCACCCAGACAGCTTGGACCAAACTCCCACTGATAACCTGAATCTTTTGAAAAATAGCCTCTATACTCCATACTCATTGGATGTTTTAAAACTGTGATCATTTAGTGATTAAATCTTTTCAGAGTATGTTGCTTCATTGACCTGACAGTGTAAAATATCTCTGGTCTCACGCATAAGCAGGAAGTGGTCCATTTGCTGACATAGGTAATAGATACCTACTGAAAAATCAAACTAAACCCAATGCCATCAAGTTGATACCAACTCATAGCGACCCCCATTGGGTTTCCAAGGTGGTAAATCTTTACAGAAGTAGATTGCTCAGTCTTCCTTCAGTGGAGCAGCTGGTGGGTTTGAACCACCAATGTTCTGGTTAGCAGTCAAATGCCTTAGGCACTGTGCCACCAGAGCTCCTTAACAGACACCTAAGGAACTTTTTTTAGGCAGACATGCCAGATAAAACACAGGTTGCCCAGTTAAATTTGAATTTTATGTAAATGACAGTTTTTAATGTGAGTATGTCTCACATACTTACACTAAAAAATTATCCTTTGCTAAAACCTGACAACCCCTACTTGTGGGTCACAACTTTTTTAAATTCCAATTTTAAAGCATTTATTTGCGTATGGTACTTAAAATAATCATGGTCCCTGTATGACTTCTCGGAGACCCAGAACAGTATGGACAAATAAAAAGAAAAAGAATTCATAACAAAAAATGACTTATTACTCCTAATGTTGGGGAAACTGCAGCCAAATTGGTTCTGGAAAAGTTAATGGTTAAATCCATATTTTGCTTGGGAACCTAACAATTTGTTACAACAAAAACTTGTGTTTCTGGACTGGATTGGAATTACAATCATTCAGTAAGAGAACTTGCCATTCAAAAAGTAGAAAGAGTTTAGAGACAAAGTATCTGAGGCAGAAACTCAGACACATAGGTTTCCAATAAAACTACAATATAGAGAAAATATACCTCTCATGATTAGAGGAAAGGGACAATCAGAACCTAAGTGTTGGGAGGAGGCAGAGAACAGCATACCATGAAAGCGTATGTGTAAAGTTACTAAGATATTTAGGGTTGCTGCCAATACCTGGTCTTAATAAAGATGTTCAGCTCAGACTACCTAAGTACTTTCATACTCCTTAAAAAGGGATTTTGCTACATTTTAAATGTTAGGAACTAGTCTTTCACAATATTTTTGTGGATTTATGGAGTTGTTGATTTTATAACAACTAATGCAGAATAGCTTTTCATAAGCTATTTAAGCCATTAAAGTGCAGTGGTCAAGGTAGAAACAGGGTCCTTTGAAAGGGAGAAGCTTGTATGTAGGTACCTTTTGTTAATAGGAGAATTGGAATTTTGTGTTTAGGAGGGGTAGGTTTGAGAGAGATCTCATCTTGCTGAGAAAGCTTCCTGAGGAAACCTGCAGTGGTAAGAAGTCTGTTTGGGGAGGGGAGAGTGTAGTTATGGTAAGGATACAGGGTGTGGGAGAATGATGGCACTAAGGGAACACAGGGCAGTTTGCTTGGAATAAACAGCATGGTAAACTTGGCTTAACATCTTGTGCAGGCCTTTTCTGACCAGATGGCTTCTTGTAGCAGACATTTTTATAAATGTTCACTTTGCAAGGTCATTTAGGAAAACTTTAATACTCTTGCAATAGCAATTGGAAGACCTTTTGCTTCCATCTTAACTTTCAAGGGAAGCTTTTCCAAAGCCCGATTTGTTGCAGAGTCGGCTTTCTTTGACTTGGTAATGCAAGCCAGTGTCTGGCAGAGGCAGCACATCTGTCCCACAGTTGCTTTAGCAAAATGCAATAGTGCAAGAATTGAGGGCAAGAGAGCCCTGAATCTGCTTTATGTTGTGACTCAGCTTTCTGGTATTAGGGGCTCAAGTAGGGGGCCTTTGGGTCCATGTCCAGATCTTAATTGTCAAATCACACTCTAGTTATGTGATGATAGTGATGAGTGGCATAGAAACTATAGCTATCTCATCCACCCCTTAGTTTTTCTGTGCAGAAATGTTGACTGATTACAGAGGATTCGGATAAAACATCCAGAAAGGAGGATTACTAAATTAGGTGTCTAGGAAGATTCTCTTCTTTCTCTCTTCTGGGAATTGAGCCCAGTTCTTTTGATCTTTTGTTACAAAGCGCCAGAGTGGCAGGAGCATTGTGGTACGAGGAATTGGTAGCTGAGCCAGTGATGGTAGCTGAGCCTCCTGGTTGGCATAGCCTGCCTAGAACTCTGGCCTTGAGCTGATGTTATGCAAATGACATTGGGCAGGGCTGGATGCTGTTGACTGCAATATTATAGTTTGACATGTTTGCTTTAAAAACAGGAGACTCCTCTCTTTATTTTTAAAAATAACATTATTTGTTGGGAATATACACAGCAAAATATACACCATTCCAGCAGTTTGTACAGGTATAATTGAGTGACATAGCTTATATTCTTTGAGTTGTACACCCTTCTCACCCTCCTTTTCTGACTTGTTTCACCCCCATTAACATAAACTCACTGGCCCTTAAGGTTCCCATCTAATCTTGCAAGTTGCTCTTGTTAATTCGATGCTATACAGATAGATCTTAAAAGAGCATAATGCTCAAGGCAGATTGGCTTTACTAGTTAAATGAAACGATTTGGTTTTAAGAAGACTTCAGGGGAAGGTCCCTGGGTGGCACAGATGGTCTGTGCTCAACTGCTAACCAGGAGTTTACCAGTTTGAACCGATCCAATGGCATTGTGGAAGATGTGGGTGTGGCAATCAGCTTCCATAAAGATTACAGTGACCCGACTGTGCCTTATAGAATCTGTCCAAATTAACACATAAACAAATGCCTTAAGACTTAGGGGGATATTTTTGGTGTAAGATGTAAAGATTGTTTCAGGACAATAGTTGTCCAGGGTTTGTCCAGCCTTCCTGGCTCCAGAAAGTCTCGATTCCGTGGTTGTGCATTAGAAAACTTCTGTACTTTTGCAGCTATCTAGTATTGTGTTTATTACTGCTCTTTTAAAATCCCTGTTTGCCCTTCTTTGTCTGCAAAAATACCACACCAGGCAAGTACTCGAATGTTTAAAATACCTAACAAATACTGCAGGGCTGTTGAAAGAAAGTTGGCTGTAAGACATTTTGCAGTAAGTATCACCTGGCCTTAACTGTAAAATCTAGACAATATATATAGAGAGGGAACATTTAAGAAGTCTGTGGTCAGCAGTTGTATTTAAAAATATTTTTATTTTTTTTAAGTCAGTAATACATTTGGTACAACGTTTTAGAAGATACGAAAGGAGATACAGTGCAAAGTCTCCCAGTTCTATCCCCATCTCTCCACTCACTCTCCCCACAAACCAACATTGTTTCTAAGAACTTATCCCACAGACACAATCCTGCAGATGTAATGTGAAATAACTTATGTGCAAGAATATTCATTACAGCATTATTTGTGATATCAAGAGATGGGAAACAATTGAAATGTCCATCAATGGGGACTGATTAAATGAATTTTGGTTTATCCATTTGACAGGATATTATGCAACCAAAAAATAGAATAAGGTCGCTCTTCGTGTGCAAGTGTATGTTAAGTGAAAAAAGCAGAATGCAGAACAACATGCACAGTATAGTGTTATTTGTGTTTTTAATACAAAGTTTGTGTTTTTGCACGCAGTATTTCCCAAAGGCGAGCAAGAAGGCAGGGGTTGGAAGGTGGGCAGGTTATCTGGGGAATGGTAAGAAGTTCTCTGAAATGTGTGGTGTAAGGGGAGCAGAGAGGATGTTAGCTATCTACCTTGCTTCCTGCTTGCTTTAGACAAATAGCATATGACACACTGTTGTACACCCTCGCCCCTCGCCCCCAGTCTCTTGGGTATTCTTCCTATCAAGGCGTTTAAAGCAGCTTTTGAATTTTATTTCATTGAGTGACCTTTAGTGGTTCATAAGGAGCTCTGGTGGCACAGTGATTAAATGCGAAGTTGCTAACCAAAAGGTATGCAGTTTGAACCCACCTGCCACTCCATGGGAGAAAGATGTGGTGATCTGCTTCTGTAAAGATGGTAGCCCTAGAAGCTTTATGACAGTTCTCTGTCCCATAGGGTTGCTATGAGTCAGAACTGACTCTAAGGCAGTGGGTTTTGTTTTTTGAGGTTTTATAGCAATCCACTGTTTCCAACCTTTTGCTGTTGCAAATAATACTGTGATGAATAACCTCTTACATGTTTCTTTTATACTTGGTGAGAATATATTTGAGGGTTCAATTCATTCAAGTGGAATTCCTGGATCAAAAAGAAAGTGCTTTTATAATTGTGGAAGACATTATCATATTGTCCCCTTCAGAGACTGTACCAATGTATCAGCTCTCAGCTATGAGAGTGCCTTTTTCCCCAAATGCTTCCCAACTAGTCTTATCAAACTTTTTAATCTTTGATCTTTAAAACACAGGATCAGTGTGCCTCCCCACCCCAAGCATTTTATTGTGTTTGGGTGAAAGTTTACAGAGCAAATTAATTTCCCATTCAACAATTTATATGCATTGTTTCCTGGCATTAGTTGTAATCCCCTCAATGTAACAGCACTTCCTGGGTTCCCTGTTTCCATTTGCTTATCTCTCCTGCCCCTTCTTGCCTTCTGAACTTTGTAGGCAAATGCTGCCCTTTTGGCCTCATGGTTGGTTGGTTCTGAGAAGCACATTCCTCACAGGTGTAACTGTTCACTTCATAGGCCTATTGTTTGGCTGGAAGATGATCTCTAGGAGTGGGTAGTTCCAGGTTTGAAGGGTGTCTAAGGGCCATAGACTTAGAAGTTCCACCAGTTTATCAAACTAGTAAGTCTGGTCTTTTTTATGATTTTGAATTTTGTAAATTTTCTCCGACTCTGTCCAGGATCTTCTGTTGTAATCCTGATAAGCGCAGTTGGTCATGGTCGCCGGGCACCATGTAGTTCTGGTCTCTGGCTAGTGGAGACTACCGTTCATGTGGTTCATTAGTCCTTTGGACTAATTGTTTCCTTTGATTTTCTTTACTCTTCTTTGCTCCAGATGGAAAGAGACCTATAGTTGTATCTTAGATGGCCACTCACAAGCTTTTAAGATCCCAGTCACTTCTTACCACACTAGGATGTAGAACATTGCTTTGATGGACTGTTATGCCAATTGACCTAGATGTCCCCTGAGACTATGGTCCTAAGCCCTCAAACCTAGTGACTCAGTGTGGTATAAAGGTGCATTTCTCTTGTTATGAATGAAGGTCAAACTATTTTTATATGTTTAAGAACCATTTCTGTCTGCTAAAAATACCTCAACTACCATAGTGACCTAGGGCAAATTATTGAGTCTTTCTGTGTCTCAGTTTCCTCATCCATAAATTAGGAATAAAAATAACTAAGTAGGATTGTTGGGTGAGTAAATGAAATTTATGTACACATTCAGCACATGCTTAGCACATAGCAAGCATTCAATAAATTATGTGATGGCTGACAGAGCAGCAGGTAGGACAGCACAGATTGAGTGAAGAGAGTAGTGGTTCACCTCCTTGTCTCCAGCCACATGAACCTTCTTCACTGACTGCCATTCATCAGAGCTTTGTCTGGGATAGTAAAGAACTTTTTTCCATGGAACACAATCCATACGATATGAGTAGAGCTGATAAGGGTTAAGCACAGGCTCATCTCTAATATTTAGATGTAACCAGAATGCTAAGCAAATTTGGTCTAATATGAAATAAAAACAAGATCAAAAGAGCCCAAATGTGCATTTATTTATTCCACGATGGTTCTCAACTCCCAGCTACCCTGGGTTGGAGCTAGGTCTCTCCTTGTAAACTCAGAGGGATACCAACCATCCATCCCATGAAAGGGGAAAGGGCAGAGGTTTCTGAGCAGAGACAAAAGACAACATTGGACATCTGCCTTCCCCAAAACAAGACCACACTATTCTACCAGCTAGAAAACAGACCTTTTTATTTTGAGCATATCAAACTGGTTTCCACGAAAGGGGAGCACAGGAGAGACCTGGTTCCTGTAAGAAGTGATGTACATTTAATAAAAGTCTTTGGAGATGGGCACTCTGGCTTGTGGCAGCCCTTGCTGCTGGTGCACAGGGGCTATTGCCTGGTAGACTCTGAGTATTTATTTATCCAAAGGTACTGAATATTTTCTTTGGGCTTGTGTCAAGCACTGGCTCTCCCTTTCTTATTGACTCCCCATACTTTCATATTGCCTTCTTGCTTCTTTCTTGGCCTCCTTGCCCCTTCTCCTGGTGTCTTTTACTATCAGCAAGCTAGTATCAGTCTTGCTTCTCTAAGATGAGGGGCTCTTCTGCCCCTCCCTGGGGCCACAGAATTGGCTACAGGATGGAGATGTGGCAAAAAGCACATCTAGGGCCTAGGCCAGACTGGCTGAGTGGCTGTGAATGATGCTTCTTGGGAGGGGCATTGGGGTTACTCCCCAAACTCCCCCTGACCCTCCCTTGCTCCACACATTCTGAAGGACCATCCCAGGGCAGATGTAGCCTCTGTCCCAGTCATCAGGATGACATGTGAATCACGCCTGGACAGGGGTATCTGCAGTGTGAGGCAGAAGGACCTTGCCCATCTGCACAGCTTGAGGGGGGAGCTGAGGGCCATCCTTTGGTAAGTGTTCCATAGCAAGGCCAGGACAGGCGGTGGACTGAGCCTCACAGCCAAAGGCTGAAGCATTAAAGCATTTGGTGGTGTTGGAGCCAAGCAAGAACATGGTGGCATGGAGGCAGTGGTGGAAGCTCATAGCCAGAACCTAGGCTGAGAGATGAAAAGTGGGCAAGGCTGGCTGGGGGCTGGACCCAGGGCATCCTGCCTGACATCATCATGGTGTCTTCCCAACTAGGAAAGCATCCTCAAGGCTCCCATCTGTGGCTGGGAGCCATTTCCAGGTAGCTGTCCACACCCCTCACTGCTACTCCTTGGCAGCACAATGTGGGGGGTCTGTCTTGGCCACGTAACCTGGGGAGCAGTGGCAGCGGTAGGAGCCCTCTGTGTTCTCGCAGTGACCGTGGGCACAGAGCGCAGCAGGCCCATTCAGGTCCTCACATTCATCCACATCTAGGAGGAAGGGAAGGCGGGAGAGCTGTAGGGCGCCTGGGAGCCTCTGGCCTGCTATCTCTGCCCCTCTGGGAACAAGTCCTGGCCTCTGCCCTGCAGTTGACTCCTAGGGGTGGCAGCCAAGGCTGAAGTCACTTCCCCAAACTAAGCAACTGAGGAACACAGAGCAGGTGGGTGTGAGCTCACACTGTGCCCAGGAGACACCATGCTGTCTTGTCCTTCCTTCCCTGTCATCTGTCTAGGAATCTCCATGGGAGGGCTTTCTAAACACAGACCTTCTCTGAGCTTTTTGTCCCTCAGGTGTGATACTAGAAAGTCCCACTAGGGGGCAGCAGTGGGCTTTCCAGCTGTCCTAAGTTCAGTAGGGCACTTGCACGTGAGCAGAGCGCCAGCTTGGCCTTCTCCACGCACACAGCAGAGCCGTCCTGCTCCTCAGCCCGTAAACTCACCCACGCAGGCCATGTGTGCTGTGTCCAGCTGGAAGCCCTCGAAGCAGTCGCAGGTGTAGCCCTCGCGCACGCGCACACAGCGGCCGTTCTCACAGCCGTTCAGGATGCCACACTCCTCGGCCTGGAGCCCTTCGAAGCCGGCCTGGTGCTCTGGTGGGAGGAAGTCATAGAGAGGGAAGCCGGGGCCTTAAGAGTCACTCTGATCTCTCCAGCCCCCCTTGGCCAGGTTGCTCTCACAGAAAGGTGCTAAAATGAAACATAATGCTCTAAAATCAGTGTCCCATTTCCCGTGGGGGACACGTGCCAGCTCTCAGGCAGGTTGGGACTCTGGGACTCTGCTTTCACAATGGCAGGGCGGCTGCCTTTCTGTAGTTTTTGGTTTTATGGGGCGCCTTGGTGGGGGTTGTTGGCAAATCCTGTCCATTGCACAAGTGTCTGGCCTGACCTGATCTCCTCATTAGAATCTAAGTCCTCAGGACTGGGGTTGTTATAGTTTACAACTGAGCAACCACAACAGGCCTTTTAAAGTGATTCAACCGAAAAACCCCAAACTCATTGCCGTCCAACTTATAGCGACCCCCTCCTTGGGTTTCTGAGGTGGTATCTCTACAGAAGTAGATTGCCCAGTCTTCCCTCCCAGGAGTGGCTGGTGGGTTTGAACTACCAGCCTTCTGGTTAGCAGTCAAATTGCCTTAGGCACTACACCATCAGAGCTCCCTTAAAGTGATTGTTGTTATGTGCCGTTGAGTCAGACCTGACTCATAGCGACCTCTCCTTGGGTTTCCGAGGCAGTATCACTATGTAAGTAGATTGCCCTATCTTCCTTCCAAGGAGTGGCTGGTGGGTTTGAACCGCCAGCCTTCTGGTTAGCAGTCAAGTGCTTTAGGCACTGCACTACCAGAGCTCCCTTAAAGTGATTTGTTGTTGTTGTTGTTGTATGTGCCGTCAAGTCGGACCCAACTCATAGCGACCCCTCCTTGGGTTTCCGAGGCAGTATCACTACGGAAGTAGATTGCCCCATCTTCCTTCCGAGGAGTGGCTGGTGGGTTTGAACCTCCAGCCTTCTGGTTAGCAGTCAAGCACCTTAGGCTCTACGCTACCAGAGCTCCCAAAAGTGATTAGAAAGCCCTAATTTCCATTCTAGGTCACAAGTTTGAATGCTGGGTTTCCTTAGAACAGGTTAATTCCTCATATTCTAAGTGGTATGGAGGGTCACTTATTAACCAAATGAAAAAGAACAGACCCAGAATGTACCTGGTTTCCCTCGTTCTCTCGACTCCCACAGGGAAGCTCGCAGGGGCTTTGCTCCTGTGCCAGTTCACGGGGAGCCGGCAAGTCTGACTGGGGCATTTCCCTGAGTGACCCGGGAGGGAACATCAGGCGTGGTGGTCTTCCCTTCCTCACCCTCAGCCTGCTGGTAACACGACTCCTCCAGGTGGAGGAAAAGGAAACAAACCCTCCCAGTGCCCTCCTCTCCTACTGGCACACAGAGCAACACAGACCTGGATAGCTGGCCACGTAGTGGGGCTGGGCTTCTGGAGGCTGCAGGGGAGATTCAAGGATGGCTGTGTGGTCCCCTGGGTGGCTGGCCGTGTTGGGGACGGGTGGCTCAGGGATGTTGTCCTCGGGCCCCAGGTAGTTGTAGAAGGGAACCCCGTCGGGGCCATAGACGCTGTAATGCAGATCGTCAGGCCCAGGGCCGTACTCATAGCCTGGCCGGAAGTGGACCCCAGCCTCCCGCTCTGCCTCGATTCGGGCCACATTGCACAGCTGAGCGTAGACCTCTGTCAGGGAGGAAGGAGAAAGACACTGGGCCCCAACTCCTAGGAGCTACAGCCTAGTTGGCTGTTTCCTGGGCTTACCTTCCCCTGGGAAAGAGGGAACGTGATGGCAGACAGTAAGCAGCAGGTGGGACAGTCCAGGTTACGTTAAGAGAGCAGTGGTTCATATCCGTGTCTTCCGCCACACTCCTCTAGGAGTTCCTGAGAGTGCTTCCCTCCCCTCCACTTTGTTTCCAAATCAGAGGGATCAAGACAGGGGCCCCACTGTGACTGCCCTACTCTTTGTGTCTAAATCTCCATCTTCCAAGGGAAGGGCATCTCCCGAGCCCAGGGCCCAGCCCAGCCCTGTGGCTATCCCCCCAGCCCTTCACCCCAGGCACACCAGAGCTCCTAGGAGGGCACAGGGCACACTGCTGGCTCCAGGCCTCGCCGTCCTGGCAGCAGCATTCCGTGTAGGTGGTGCGGTGCCCACGTAGGGGTTGGCTGCACACGTAATTGGTGACTTTTTTCCAGCAGATGTCCATGTGAATATCGTGGTCAGGGAGGTCATCTGGAAGCACAGGGCACAGGGGCATGTGACACCCCCCCCCCCAGGCCCATGTCCATTCCCTCTGCTGCCCCGCCGACCCAGGTCCACTCACCCGCACTGCCGGTGCCATTCACACAGCGCTGCCGGCTGGGGTCCAGGATGAGGGGCGGGCTGCAGAAGCAGTGGAAGGAGCCTTCCGTGTTCACACACTCGCCATCCTCACAGGCCATGGCCTGGCACTCATCAAGATCTGCGGTGACAGGCAGGAGGAGGAGCAGCAATGGCAGCAGTGCCAAGGCAACTGACCCCCCACTGACCACCTTCATGGAACGGGGTTCTCTTGTGACCGATGAGGAAGTATAGCAGCCCCACCAGCCTTAGCCCAGCCTGGGAGGTCCCTCCCCAAGGATGCCTTTCTATCAGGTCCCCGCATACAATCCTCACAGCTCCATGGCTCCCCTCACCTCAGACCTGTCTCTCACAGTGGGCATCTTCCCCAGGAATATGACTGGATGGTGGTGGGGGGGGGGAGGGCAGTGTGCTCTCACCCTCACACTTCTTGCTGGGGGCATCGTAGCGGTAGCCAGGATCACACAGGCAGATGTAGCTGGGCACCGCATTGAGGCACTGGCCATTCGGGCAGAGATCCGGCCCAAACATCACACACTCGTTGGCATCTGTGGGAGGCAGAGCTGACTGAGGGGAAGTTGAGAAGCGGTATAAGCCTGAGAACTCCAAGCCAGACTCTCTGGGTTTGAGGCCCAGCTCTGATACTTCCTAGTTGAGTGACTTTGGGCAAGTTGCTTAAGTTCTCCTTGCCTCAGTTTCCTACCTATAAAATGTGCATTTTGATACTTACCTCTTACAGTTGTAATGAGGATTAAATGGTTTTAATGTGTGAAAGGTGCTTAAAATAGTGCTTGGCATAGAGCAAGCCCTCAAGGAAAGCTACTTCTATTTCTTTCTCCAGCTTGTGGACTAGGGCATTGAGGGGCCACTTGAGCCACCTCACTGTGAGAATGGGCTCCCCAAGGTTCTAGTTTCATAAATGGGGCAGGGGAGAAAAGCAGATGTCTCTGGCCTCTGTCCAGCACTACTCTCCACTATGTCCCTGTGCCCACATGAAGCAGAGGATTAGAGTCAAAGCATCATAGTTTAATTATAGAGACTTTCCTCCAGGGAAAAGTGGGGTAAGGCTTGTCTGGGCACTCCAGGAAGAGCTTGGTTCAGAACTTTGAGCTAAAAATCTGCAAGGGGTCAATCCCAGACCAGAAAGGATTGAAAGCCGGACTGGATCCAGAGCTTCCCTAGGGGCCTCCTGGAGGATTAGGCTGGGGCCTGCCCGAGTGAATAGGGTGGGGTGAGGGCGTGCAGGGAGGTTACCTGTGTACGTGGTCTGTCCAAACATCCAGGCTCCTTCCACAGGGATATAGCCTTTACCACTGGGGCAGATCTCGCTGAATTCCACTGTGTAGGGGGGCAGCCAGTTCAGAGAGGAAAGGGCTCTGCCATCCTTCCCCTCTCCCCTCCTTTTAGCGTCACCTTGCAGAGCTGACCTTTAGGACTGGGGACCTTGGAGGCCTTACCTGAGTCCTCGGATGGGCAGAGCTCACACGCGTCTCCCCAGCTGGTGCCCTGGGTACAGCAGCACTCAGCCTGCGTGGTGTTGCGGCCCAGGACGCTGGAGCAGGGAGGCCGGCCCTTCTGTCTAGAATAGCATTCCATGCGGACAGGGCCCGTGAGGTGATCCACCGTCGGCGCCTCGAGGACACTCTGACCTGTGTGTGATTACTGTCTGCTCATGGCCCTCCGAGCCACCCCAGCCCTTGACTTTAATTTTTAAATTTAACATTTATACAGTATTTCACAGTTTACAAGATGTTTTTATTGATATTATCTCACGGAATGGGGTAGCTGTTATTATTATCATCTCCCTCTATGGATAGGACATTGAGACTTAGAAAGCTAAGTGACTTGCCACAGACACACAGCTACTAAGTGATGTAGCAGGGATTTGAACCCATTTCCTCTGATGCCAAGCCCCTGCTCTTTCCAGTATGCTACACTGCCTTCCTGCCCTATAGTGGGTACCCCCTGTCCTGACATTCCTCTGGGCAGCCTTCTATTCTATTCTTCTCTCCCACTTACTACCCTTCCTTGTTCTAGGTCCCCTTTCACCTTCTGTGACTGAGCTGAGTCCCACTTGCCATAAAGGTGGTTGTGTGGCCTCCTTTTGCCCTAGTAAAGGCCAGGTAGGGCGTTGCCCAGCTGGGGTGAGCGGCTGAGCTCAGTGGCTTTGGGATGGAATAGGATGAGGAGAGCCCAGCTTAGTGTAGCTTCCCTCATCCAGAGGACTCCTAGGGGTTGGTGGATTATGGATTCTGGGTTCCTCCATAGATCAATATGCCATTCCTGGGGCCACCCTAAGTCAGCTTCAGAGCCCCCTTTGGGGTTGTCACAGACATTCCGCCATCGCCCAGACATTCCCTGGCTCTTGTTTTAATATTTGCCACACTCTCAGACTCCATGGCCCTCCAGGTTCCATTCCTGGGATGCACCCCTCCCACATTGCCCTAGGTCCTGTCCAGGCTCCCTCGTGTCCTGCCCAGCCTGCCTCACAGGTCGAGGTTGTGAGGAGCTGGTGGCTGGGGCCACAGAGATGCTTTATAAGCCAGCAGTAGGGCTGTCATGGATGTTGATGGGGGATGGGGAGGATCACCATGAGTGTCCCGGGCCTCACCTGCAGCTGCCCGGGGACGGCAGCGCCCTTCCTGAGCATCATACTCTTCAAGGTCACTGGCACAGAGGCACAGGAAGGAGCCCTCCACGTTCTCACAGAATGCAGCCCCACACACGGCCAGCATGAGCTCACACTCGTTCACGTCTGCCAGGCATGAGGACAGGCTCGTGGGCGGAGAAGAGGCAGCCCAGGCCCCTGACTCCAGCCCAGCAGGCAAGCCCTCATCTCATCCCTCCAAAGAAAGAAAACCAGGCTGGACTTTGAAAGAAGCAAAAGTGGGTATGAATCAGCAGGGAGAAGGAAAAGATAAACAGAGGGCAGCGGAAGGGGGAGAGAATGAGGAGCGTGGCAGAGAAAGAGGTCAGCACAGCGGACAGAGAGGAAGGCTCACTCCCTCTGTGCACATTCTCCAAAATTTGTACCTCTTGAAACCCTGGGGTCTCTAGAGAAGGGTGGGACCTTCACTAATGCACTTGCTCCCCCTGCTGCTAGAAGCTTCCCCTACCAGCTGGCCAAGGGGCTGGCTGTAGGATGGAGGTAAAATCTCCCTCTTGAAGGCTTCCTTGTCCACTCTATGGGGACGTATTATGGAGCCATGTGACCATGAACATTTCAGGAGATGGGCCTCAGGTCTCCACCCAGGATGGCCAAGGTCTGTGGAGATGGGAATGTGCCCAAGGGCCTTTCCGTCCCTGGCCCAGAACCTGGTAGCCCACAAACCTCTCACCAACACAGTCCCAGCCCGAAGGCGAGGTCTCGAAGCCTTGGTCACAGAGGCAGCGGAAGGACCCATCAGAGTTGTCACAGAAGCCATGGCTCCCACACACAGTGTCATTGGCACACTCGTCTATATCTGTGGGACAGTGGAGACCAGAGGGTAGGGCTTCTCTCTCTCTGCTCTCCCCACCCCCCACCTCTCTCTACTGGGAATATTTATTTATTTATTTGGTCCATTAACACCAAGATCTGCAAAACACAACCTCTCAACACAGGATGAGAAAACTCAAACATTAACATTCCTCTTCAATTTTGTGTAAGTTCTCCAGTACGGAAAATATACAAACTTCAAACAGCTACAAACATTGTGTCTTTCGGAGAAAATAGAGTTTCTATATCAATCCAAGAAAAGCGGGTGTCCTCAACCCTCCCATCTCTGACTCTTCCACCCCCCAACCCCCACCCCCCAACTCACCAATGCAGTCTCCGGTTGGGGTCATGTGGAAACCTGGCTGGCAGCCCAGGACACAGCGGAAGGAGCCAGGGCTGTTCTCACACCTCCAGGCTCCACACACCGAGTCACCGTAGTCCTCACACTCGTCAATATCTGTCCCCAGAGCCATGAGAGAGGGCAGAGATGGGACAGGTCACTGCTCTGGCCCTGCCTGTCTCGTATTACAAGGTCACAGCCTGCAACCTCGGGGTCCTTGATCAGTTCCAAATCACTGGGCTCATCTCAACCCCAGAATGTGAGGTTCAGGGTCACTGTCCTTGACCCAGCAGGGTTGAGCATCTAGGAAGAGAACTATGTGCTACCTAGGAAAGCACTGAGCTCCGAGCTTTTGGCGACTCCTATTCCTGCACCCCACTTGCCCTGTACCAAGCACATTATTTTTCTCTTTATGTCAAGCCTTCACTGCAGTGTATTACAGGGTTGTCCTCCGCTGTCTCCCTTGCTCAATGTCAAGATTCTTCACAAGTGTCTTATTTGTCCTGGCAAAAACCCAGCAGGTGTTTGATAAATGTCTATTGGAATCAGTTTGGCTTTTCAAATGAGTTACACACTCTCCCTGCACGAGGATCACGAGGGTATTCATCTTGGGGCCTGCAGACAATCCCTGAGCCAGCAGAGGCTCAAAAACACTGTCCACTGGATGATTCATCTGTGGAAAGTACTCTGTTTCCTGGGAAGCTGCAGGTCCTTCTCCAGGGAGCCAAGGCAAGCCAAGGTGGAGGTGGGGCAGCCCCTGTCCACTCCCCCAAGCCCTTACCCACGCACTCCCCACTCTCTGGGGAGGCCTGGAAGCCAGTCTCGCACAGACAGTCGAAGGAGCCATCGGTGTTGACACAGCGCCCTCCCAGACACCGGTCTGTTTCTGCACACTCGTCCACATCTAGAAGAGAAGGTTGTCAGCAGGCCCAGTGGTGGGCCCCAAGAAGCCCGTGGGAGGCCAGAGATGCTCAGGGCAAGAAAGGGTCAGATGAGCGGGGGAGCCCAGAGCTAGAAGCCAAAACCAGGCTGGGGAGAGGGACACCCGAACTGGGGCTCTGTTAGGGGAGAGAGAAGGGCCTTCAGAGAGGACTCATCTCTGCAGAGACCTCACTCAGAGGCCTTGGTGAAGGCCTGAGTCCCTCCCTGAACACTTAGCTCCCTTTCATCACTCCCACCCAACTTCTCAGCCTCCTGTCCCTGGGTGGGGCCACAAGCGTTCTATCTCTGTAAACCAGTAAAACCAGATGCCAAGTCAACTCTGACTCCTGGTGATCCCAGGTCAGGGCAGAACTGTGCTCCACAGGTTTTCAATGGCTGATTTTCTGGAAGGAGATCACCAGGCCTTTCTTCCAAGGTGCCTCTGGGTGGTTTGAACCACTAACCTTTTTGATTAGCAGCAGTTCATTAACAGTTTGTATCACCAAGTGATTAAAATCAAATACATGGCAACCAGAAGCTCTGGTGGCGTAGTGCCTAAGGCATTTGACTGCTAACCAGAACCAGGCTGAACCACCAGCCACTCCTTGGAAGGAAGATTGGGCAATCTACTTCCATATGGATATGTCCTGGAAAACCCGAGGGGTTGCCATGAGTCCCATCAACTTGATGGTCAGTGAGGTTTTTTTTTTTTTTAGACTACAGCCAATTATAGCTTTTACTCCAGACATAGCCTCTAGCACCCCCTACTGCTAACCAAGGGACATGCTGGCTTCTCACCCTCGCAGCTTGTGTCCCCTGCAGCGCTGGCAAAGCCGGGTGCACAGAGACAGAAGAAGGACCCGTGGCTATTGAGGCACTCGCCGCGTGGTGCACAATACTCCTCTCCCATGCACTCATCCACGTCTGCAGTGAGAAGATGGGTATAGTAGCTGCTGGGGACAACTCCACCTCTCATACACTCACTGCTCCTCATTCCAGGGTGGGGGGGCCACTTACCCTCACACAAGGTGCCATTGACAAGCTGGAAGCCTCGGGGGCAGAGGCATTGGTAAGAACCGACCACGTTCCTGCACTCGCCTCCCAGGCAACTGCTTTGGGGGTCTTCACACTCATCCACATCTGCAGGGTCACACAGGGGAGTAAGGCAGCTGATGGCAGCACCTCCCAAGGTGGGAACCAAGGAGATCTCCAGAGGACCTCACTCCCTGAGGAGACTGGACCCAGAGGGGCATCATCCCCTCACGAAGCTGAGAGAAGCTGGTGAGGGAGCCTTCCAGGAGGCTGGCTGGCCTGGCAGCTTGGCAGTCGGGCACCTCCACCCAGCTCCTGCCTCAGCTGGCCTTCTGCCCACCGTGGGGACACTTGGCCTCTCCAGCAACCCTGGCCTTGGGTAGTCAAACCTTGCTGCTCTTATGGCTGAGATGGCTGAGATTTTACTGAGAAGCAATGGGAAGACAAGTGCTAAATAAACCAAGGAAAGAGATTCAAAGAAACAGGTTTCTTAACTTTCTTAAAGTTGGTCTTCATATTGCCTGATACACAGGCCACTGTGTACCACCTCAAAATATAGCCCCAGCACACATTCTCCCCAGGAACATCTGAAAAGCTTGTTAGAAAAACAGATTCCACAGCTACTCTCCAGAGTGTGATCTAGTGGGTCTGGCCCAGGCCCAGGAAGCTGCATGTCTAACCAGCATCCAGTGATGCTGACCTACTCTGAAGTTTGTGAACTTGGTTCTGGAGACCCAGGTCTGCAGTAGCCATTGGGGTAGGGGGCCCACCTATGTGTCCCTCTCAAAGGGTGACAGGTGAACCTCCCAGGTCCCCATGTGCCCTCTCCCCACCCAGCAGAGGTCTCTTACCTTCACAGGTGTGGCCCAGGGGGCTGGGCCGGTAGCCTTCATCACAGCCTTTACAGGTGAAGGAGCCCACTGTGTTGCTGCAGACTCCTGAGGGGCAGACTCCCGGAAAGGCACACTCGTCCAGGTCTGGGGCAGTCAGACAGCCAGTCACCCAGGGACCTGGAAGGGCTCCCCCAACCCCGCCCGGGAACCTCACCACTCCCTGGCCTCCCTCTGAGCTTGCAGGACACCCTTCGGCAGGGGAAGGGCAGGCCCTGGCTGTAGGCTTCCATAAGGCAACCCCCGCATCCCCTGTCTGGAATCTCCTCTTGCCTCTGTGACTCCCCTTTCCTCCCATCCCCACTTCTGAACTTGGAGATTCTGATCCTGGCAGCTCTTCTTGGGGCCAAGTCAGTGTCGGATTATCCAACAAGCAAGGTAAGCACAGGCTTACTTGTGCTTACTTATTAATCTGTAGTGAACAAGTTTATTTTTTCACCCCATCCAAGATTCTGCCCCTAGGCATGGCTGGTTTCTATTCCTCTCTCTCAGCTCCATAAGCACCTTCCTACAGAATCAAAGCCTCTTCAAGTTCATAATCCCTGACAAGAACATAGTACCCAGTAGCAAAGTAAGCACAGGCTTACTTGTGTTTTTTTAATCTGAGTGAATAGTGTCACAAGTTTTTACCACATCTGTGAAATGTGAAATTGTTTTGCTACAGATTAATAAGTAAGCACAAGCAAACCCATGCCTACCTTGCTTATTGGGTCATCTACCTCTGAGTGGCGTAGTGGATAAGGCATCTGGCTGCTAATCAGAAGATCAGCAGTTCAAACCCACCAGCCAATCCGCAGAAGGAACATGGGGCAATCTACTTCCGTAAAGATTTATAGCCTTAGAAACTGAATGGGGGTCTCTGTAAGTTGGAATCGACTCCATGGCAGGGGGTTTGGTTTTTGGTTTTACTACTGGGCCAAATCCATTTATAGGCTTCTCCAGGCCAACTTGGAGACTTTCAGCTTCAGGGATGGCCTGAATGTCCGGGTGGCTTTAATGTCTAGCCAGCCCAAAGCTGGGAGACAAATAGAGCGTTTCTGGGAGTTGCAAAGGCCTGTATTGTCTGCTGCTTCCTCTCCCACCCCACCCCACCCTACCCCAGAATCACCTTCACAAGCAGTGCCGTCTTCATTCACCCAGTACCCGCTCTCACAGGCTGAACAGGCAAAGGAGCCCTCGGTGTTGAGGCAGAGGCCAGTGGGGCATGCAGTCCGGCTGGCACACTCATTGACATCTGAAATGGGCCATTGGGTTCTGTGGGGGTGCTTTCTATAGGACAGTCACCCAGGCCAGCCAGAGACTGACAGGCAGGCAGGGGCAGGGAAAGGACACGACTCAGCAAGAATGTGTTGGGTCAGCATGGTTAGTGATATGGGACCACCAGTGGGTTGGTGGGGGTAGGGTGGGTAGAGGAAGGGCTCTGGAGGAGGAAGGAGGCTTCAGTTCTTTGTACCTTGGCAGCCCTTCTCATCTGAGGTGACCTCGTAACCCTGTTCACAAGAGCATCTAAAGGAGCCATCCAGGTTGACGCACTTTCCATGGGCACAGACCCCTGGGGTCAGACACTCATTCACATCTGTGGGAGAGAAGTCTAAGATGGCAGCTGGCCTCCTCTCCTTTATGCAGCGCCCGATCAATAGGCTAAGAGTATCTCAATTGTGAGGCCAGCCTTCAGAATGGCCATAGGCCACCCTAGGGAGGCTATGAGGCCATGCTCCCTCATTCCTGCTCCTAGCCCCACCTACCTCAACAAGAAAGTTTGCCCCTCCCTCCTCAAGCTCACTTCCACCCTATCTAGTAACACACAGCACCCTATATATGTCCTAGGAAATGAGGCCAGATCCCCCAGCCCTGGAGCTGAGCGGGCTGAGGACATCTAGGTGTCCAAGACCCTGGGCTCACCTTACAGTGGGTCTGACCTCTCTAGCCTCCTACCTGCCAACAAAACTGGTATGATCTTATGTTCCCAGCCCAACAACCAACTTCAGTAGGTGGGTGGGCAATGAGAAGCCAGGCCAGGCCTGGGTGGCTGAGTGGCAGTCTGGAGGGCCTGGGAAACATACACCCTCTCCAGATCTTCAAAGCATCTATTCAAACCTCAGCCCCTCCTAGCATTCTAAGTAAGTCCTGGGCCTTTCTTCCTGTGGGGGCTGAGGGGACAGAACACTCCTACTGCTGACATGCAGCCTCCTCTGGAGAGAAGAGGCAAACACTGTTAAGGAAGGCGCTTTATTTAGATGTTGCTGTTTAGACTCAGAGGAGCAGAAGACTCCTCCTCCCTGGGATCCCACCCAATAGGGGCCAGCCACAGAAGCTTCCAGGACCTTTAGCTGTAGAGCTCCTGGATGGATGAGACCAAGGAGCAGAGAGGGCCCCCACCGCAGCTGACTGAGGGGGCAGAGCAGCAAGAACTCATCTAATGCCCAGCGTCACCTGGGTGTGCCATCAAACCTCCAAGCTGCTTCCCTCTGGCCACCCCTTTCCCTCCCTGTGTGTGGGCTCAACCAGAGGTCCCAAGGCCAACAGCTGTTGGCAAGCAGCCCTCACCTACACAGATCCCGCTCTGACCCCGGTAGCCCTCCTCACAGGGCAGACAGGTGTAGGAGCCGGGGGAATTGACGCATCTCCCATCAGGGCAGGTGCCAGGGTGACGGCATTCGTTGATATCTGCAAAATAACAGCCCCTCCCAGGGTCATCCGTGGGAACCACAGCACATGGGTAGGTCTGTGAGAAAGCAAATCCTTGACCCTGCCCTTGGCCGGGGAGACATGTCAGTTTCTGTGCAGATGAAAATAGGAAAGAGTGAGAGTTGTCCTGTGTTCCCAAGCCCTGGTCATCAGCTCCACCTCCCACCCACTGCCCTAGACAAAAGAGAGAATTTAAAAATTAGAAAGGGAGACACCCTGAGTGGGTGCAATAGGCTGTGGTTACCAGTAGTTGTGGGAGGATTAGAGAGTTCTACTTTGTAAGCTGGACTGTCTGGGGTGGGCCTTCCTAGCTCCCTTGATGAACTCCTAGTCCTTTATAAGTGGTAACTCTTACTGGGATTGGGTGAGCTTGGCCCAGCCACCAGTTGAGTTGTTGTCAGAGGCCTTAGAATAGATTACCAGAGGAGCAGCAAAGGCAGAATGGGTTTCTTAGCACCAGAAAATGAGGCCTGAGGATGAGGACTCAATCTTGGACATGGTTGAGACTAGCCTTGAGGCCAGGGAGGACTCTGAGCTGGAGGTGGGCATGATGTCTCTGCTGGAGAGATGACAGACCTTTCTTCCACCTAGTAGGGCACCTGGTACCTATTCTGGAGAGCCGCCCGTCAGAAAGGAAGAGCCTGAGCATCAGCTAGGCGGGCAGGGGAAGAGGGAACCCAGGGAGAGAGAGGACACCAGTCCTGGGAGAGCGACAAGGAGAAGGAGGTGGGAGGTCTTGTTCCCAGGAGCTGCAGGACAATGTTCTTCCTGATGAGAACTGGCATCCTGAGGAGTTCATCATGGCAAACATCCCAAGGCACGGGGGCCTGGCCTGAGTTAGCAAGGTCATGTCCTAGGGATGGAACTCTGGGTCAGAACTGCAGGAGGACATTAGGTTCCTCCAGTCCAGTGTCGTGTGTAACCTTCCCAAGTGCTTTTTCTTTCTTCTGTGGAGACTGGCCACTTGTCCACTATGCCACCACCAGAGCTCCTTTTTTTTTGAGCCCAGTGCCGCGGCTCCTGGTCACTACTCATGTCAGATAGATTGGCTAAGCTCCAGAGGAAGCAGGAGGACTTATTCTTCCCAAACTGGCAATTCTCTTTCTTCAGAGTGAGATCTCTACTGCCTTGGGAAAAGATCTACCCAGTCCCTACACAGGAAAAGAGGACGACACACTTCTGGAAGGCAGGAAGCAGAGCCAAGGGTCAGAACCAAGGCTTTCTGCAAAGGGTTAAACCCTAGCAACTGCAGAACAGGATACAGACCCCAAACCTGATGGTACAAATAGTCCCCCTGAGGCTGTTTGGGCTGCAGGAGTCAGGACACGTCAAAGCCCTCTGTTGCAGGGGACTAAGGCCCTCTCTTAGTTAAGGCCCTCTCTTGGGAGCTCTGGTAGCATAGTGGCTAAGACACTTGCCTGCTAACCAGACGGCTGGCGGTTCAAACCCACCAGCTACTCCTCGGAAGGAAGGTTGGGCAGTCCTACTTCCTTAGTGATACTGCCTCGGAAACCCAAGGAGGGGTGGCGGGCCGACTTGACGGCACATAACAACAACAATAAGGCCCTCTCAGGCCTAAAGCTTCACCTTGGCAACCTTCCAGTGTGCTAAGAAGGTCCAGGGTAGGAAGATATCCCATAAAGCAGCTAGGATTGGCAAGGAGACACCCATAACTCTCCAGGACAGAGGCGGGCAATCTTGGGACACTGAGATAAGGCTCATTTCTGGAGAGAGGGCAGCCAAGTGCCCCAAGTTGGGTTGTGGTGCTACCAGGCTGAACTATTCTAAAGTTTCTCTAAAGACAGAGATGGAGAGAATGAGACAGAGACAGAAGGAATGAAGGAACGAGGACCACACGCTTTAGTCACCCAGGAAAGAGCAGCCATGACCTGTTGGCCGTGGCTGAGGTGCCCGATGGAGGATGGAGGATGGACAAAGCCACTGAGAAGGATAAGTAATCTCTGTTTCAGGGAAAAGAGGCTCATGGACAAAGAGAAAGGAGTTTGAGGCAAAGATCTTTCTCAAACTAGGCTGAGAAAAAATGAAATATTTCGGCCTCTTTCCCGGGATCAGGTGGCATAGGAAAGAGATAAGGCTTACCAGGAGCAAGGAGCCCTGAGGTTTACCCTGTCCCAGCATAGTTTCTGGAGGTGGTCCACAAAGTGTCTTTTGATGGGCATTTAGGAGACATGTGTCACTAATTCTATGCACTGAAGAGTTCCAGCTTCCCATGTTGTGGGCCATGGGGCTAGGGCTTCTCAGGCCCATGTATTTGGGTGGGGCCATGGGACTGTTGTTGTTGTTGTTATGTGCCGTCGAGTCGGACCCGACTCATAGCGACCCTTCCTTGGGTTTCTGAGGAAGTATCACTACGGAAATAGATTGCCCCATCTTCCTTCTGAGCAGTGGGTACTGCCCAATGTGTGATGAGTGGATATGATGTGTATAATTTACAGATCAAAGCATTTAATCGTGTGTAACCTTCCTGAAAGCTTTTTCTTTCTTCTGTGGAGACTGGCCACATATGAGATATTGGCTTTCCTTGAGGCTGGCTCTGGAGTAAGGAAACACGAAGCAGGGTCCCCAGCTGACCCACAATGGACATGTAGCATGGGTGAGATATAAACCTGTGCTGTTCTAACTCACTAAGACTGGGGATTATTGTCAATGCTGCATAACCCAGCTTATCCTGGCACACCACCACCAGCTTCCTCCCTCAGCCCAGAGCCCCAGGCAGTGAATAGCAGTTGTGAGAGGTTAGTTAGCAAGTGGCAGGGAGAGGGCAGGTCATCAGAGCAGCCCTAAGTCTCCACCTGAACCAAGGCAGGGCTCTCTTGAATGGGATAGTTTATAACAGCCATTAGCCAAACCAATCACAAGGAGCCAGATGAAGATTCTGGATGAAATGGATTCTGTGACCAGATTTCCTGAGGCTGCTCTACCAATCTCAGTGCTTGGACTGGCAGCAGTCACTAGGTGCAGATTTGCTGCCTAGTCTAAGGTTTGAGGTATATCTAAAATTATGCTACACATTAGTGGGTTGTTGGGAGCAGGAACAATCTGTGTTATTATTGCTATCTCCCCAGCATGTGGTTGGCACACACATGTCAGTCAACAATGTTTGCTGATCAAAAAACAAGATCATGTGCCTAAAACTTCACCCATCACCCTCTTGGTGTAAGGCTGCTGAAGAGACCCCAAAAGATCCATGGAAACAGTTACCAAGGAAGCAGTCTAATCTGCTGTGGGTACAGTGTGGAGAGTCCGCAGTTTACCAGGGTTTCAGTCTTTGCAGGAGGAAATGTAAAGGCAACACCTCTGTTCCTTGTAAAACCATGGAGTGGAGTAGGGGTGCTCAGTCAGGGGCCAGAAACTTGGGTGACCTTGGATGGGGAGAGGGGGACAACAAAGATCCTGGCAGTCTGCAGGGGAATCCAACCCCTGTCCATAGGAACCCAGAGTCCTGCTATGACGGAAATGCCATTGAGACAGTTGGGTGGGCTACTCTCCAGACCTTTAACCACAGACCTTGAGTTTTATGTGGAGAGAGTGGTTTCTTGGTTGGAGAAAGAAGAAAGAGAGAGAGGAAATTGACTGGGCTCCCAGGGTGATGGGCCAGGCCTGTGGTTACTGATGGAAACCTGGAGAAGTGTACAAACTACATCATTCTTTCTTTCAACAGACTAAGTGTCTGCCCTGGGCCAGGAACTCAGCCTGACCTCCCAGCTGAGGAGTGTGTCTAGACTTTTCCTCTGGAAGAGACGGGGACAATCCAGAGGACTGGATGGGGTGTGGGGAAAGTCTAAGTATGAAAAAGAATGAGGTCCATAAAAAGAATAGAAAAATTCTACTTAATATGAAGAAATTAGTTAATTAGTACAACAGTAAAGACCACCCTTTACTGAGAGTCCATATGTGCTAGAGACAATTCCGACACTTTGTACAGATTAGCTTACTCAGTTTTCACAAAAGCCTCTGAAATGCATGTTGAGAAAAAACGAAAATGTAACCCATTATTGTAGCATTGATTCCGACCCACAGTGACCCTATAGGACCAAGTAGAATTGTCTCCTAGGGTTTCCAAGGCTGCAAATCTTTATAAAAGCAGACTGCCATATCTTTCTCTTGTAGAGCAGCTAGTGGGTTTGAACTACCAACCTTTCATTAGCAGCTGAGTGTTTAACCACTACACTGCCAGGGTTCCCCTAGATGGGCATTATGATCCCCATTTTCAGATGCTGAGATAAGAGCCCTATCTAAATCTAAGCCTGCCTCTGTCAGAGCCTGTGTCCTTAACATAGACTGAGTAGCAAGTATTTCGTAAGTCAGATGTTTTTAATGTTCTTGGTTCATCTCTGTTAGTTTTATTTTTCTTTTTAATAAAGTCCAATGTCAAATGCATAAGGTTTTTGTGATGCTTAAGTTAGGTAATTCATCAAGTACCTGGCACAGCCCCTGGCACACAGTACAGACTTCCATCAAATGTTAACTCCCTCCCACTCCTTCATCCTGGAAACACCAGGCTGTCTTGTCTCCATCATGTTAATAAGGACAAAGGGGAGTGAGTTCTGGCTTTGATCCTGTCTAGGACTCAGTTTTTAAGTGGGAGCACCAGGAGGGAGGCACAGAGACAGTGGCCACACCAGGGAGGTCAGACAGAGAGTAGGCTGTGCTGTATCTGCAGCCCTCTTCTTTGCTAAAACCTTCCAGATTCTGGTCTCTGCTTCTCTGGTAGTAGTGGGTAAAAGGGTGCTCTCCCTTCCCAGGTGCACAAGCTCATCCATCACCTCCAGGGCCCTCTGGAACCAGTTAAGTCCTGGCCAGGGAAACCTGGATGCTGGGATGAGTCTGGGCCTAAGTTCAGATGCAAGGCAAGGTTTCTTTCCAGAGAAAGCTTTGATTTATCCTCATCTATTCCTGTCTCAGCCAGTCGTGGGAGCACATGACCTACCTAGACCTCCTACAAGCACCTGATACCCCTGGCTGGCAGGTGGGCAGTGGTAGCAGAGCTGCCAACAGGCTTTCAGAGCTGGGCTGATAATGGCAGGCTCAGCTGGTCTGTAAGGCAGCCAGGTGGCACCAGGGCAGCTGCCTTTTGGCTGCACCTGGGAAAGGGAGGGGAAGGATCTAGGTTCTCTAATTCATTCGTTGACTCACTCCTTCATCATTCAACAAGGATTGGTGAGTGCTTATCATATGTCCATGCCTGGGTTGTCTAAGGATGTGGTCCAACCCTCAAGGAGCTCACAGTCTAACACGCTTTAGCAAGAAGGTCAAGGCTGAGGACCCAGGCAACTTTCAGGTAGATAGACTCTCTTCCTCTGCCACACCAGGAGAGCAGCATTTTCAGGGCAATGGGGCAGAGGTGGAGGATGCTGCAGAGGCAGAGAGGATGTTCTTAGGATCTCCATTAGATGCAATGACTTGTCCCCTGCCCACAGGGGGTCAGACAGGATCCCAAAGCATCATGGAGGGGACAGAAGGATTCAGGAATCCCTAGGCATGTCTTTATCCACAGGAATGGGCTCAGTCTCAGTGTCACAGTTGAGGACATGCTAGCAGAGGAACTGGTGGTGAGCAATGCATGAAGAGGGACCAGGAGATGGGACAGGTGGCAGACTGCCCTCACTATTCCTGTTCCTTACCTTGGCAGTGTCCCTTCCTGACCATGATGTAGCCCTGGTCACACTCGCAGTGGTACGAACCCTCGGTGTTGGTGCACTGCCCACTGGTGCACACCCCTGGCTGCTCACACTCATCTATATCTGCAAAAGAAAAGAAAGTCCTGAGTCAGGGCCATATCTGGAGGGGATTCTGGTTTCCCTTCCAGAGGCCATGCTGAGGGCCAGGCAGGGAAGGCATCCTTGCTGCAGCAACGATTGGCAGGAAGGGCCCCTATGTCAGGGCTGACACGGATCTAGCACAGGCCCCTGCTAAACCTCAGCTCCTTTTTCCCAGGGGGCTACTCTTTGGGCCCCTTCTGGCCCTCGCAGTTGTCCTCTCACCCTGCTGCCAGGTCTGGAAATGTGCCTTATTTATTTCAGGGTCTCCCAAGCCCAGCACAAAAACCTCAATAAGTGCTATTGAATGAATCAAAGAATACTTCTGTTTGTGGAGAATGTTTTTATCTGAGCAGTGCTTCACCAAACTTCAGCGCATGGCAGAGTCGCTGGCCGAATGTGTGAAAATGCACATCCCCAGGTCCACATCTAAAGCTTCTGACCCAGCACCACAGCCAGAGCTTCTGACCCAGCAGGACTGGGAGGGCCCAGGGACCTGCATCTTAATAACTCCCCACGCAATTCTGAAACGATCGGTCCTTGCTTTGAGAAACTCTGATCATAACGAAGTAGAACAGGGAACTAGGAGGCAGAGCCACGTGTGGCAACTTGATAAAGAATCAGATCAATGGGCCAGATGATTGGTGCTGGGAAAACTGTCTCACTCTGAGAAGAAGAAAACTGGTTTCCTCACACTATGCACACTATGCAAAGGTGCACTTCAGACAGATCATCACATAGCTGTGAAATGCGAATTTCAAT